GTCGTATCATCTATAGCATGCATTTGAGCTGCAGTTATCTGCAGTCATGTGAAATAACAAATTTAACTGTTGCACGTGTGATTAACATTTTTTAAAAGCTTTAGTCAGGTATGGTAAAGCTCCTGAAATACCAGCTAATAAGAAAGCTGAGGTAGGAAGATCACAAGTTTGAAACCAGCCTGGGCATCTTAGTAAGACTTTGTCCCAAAATAAAATTTAAAAAGAATTGAGAATGTAGCTCAGTGGTAGAACATTCACGTGGCATAAATGGACAACTTGAGTCCAACTCCTAAGACTGAAAAAAAAAGCTGTATGATACCATCATCCCTGTCCTAAGAACTTAAGTAAGGTAAGTAAATTATAAAATCATAGTATTAAAAAATTCACCAAAAATAAGGATTTAAAAAACCTAACCAAACTAAACTCCAAAATGTTCTCCCCTTCAAAAGAGAAGTATCCCACAGTCACCTGTTCCCAGAGAGCAGCAGGCAGCAGATACAAACCCTGCTGACAGATAAAGAGAAATGAATCGAATCACTAAAGAACTCCCCATGCTACATGTCAATGGGGTGACAGGTTAGAATTCAAAGGAGGCCTAGAGTTCTTTTTGCTGGTCCTTGCCAAGAGCATCAGGGATAGGTGAGACTATAGGTGGACAGGAGCACTGAGAACCCCTCAGATCCATGGGCCTCCGTTGGGTAAGGAAAGCTGTTCTGAAGATAGAAGACAGGACAATGGTGTGAGAAACCGATTCCTGAGAAAGCTCAGGTTTGTGCTCTGAAGGCTGTGGAGGCAGGAGTCAGGTAAAGAATTTCTCATGATACAGCTGAGGTGCAGAACAGGACCCAGCATGTGTCATGTGGCTTCCCGAGATGCCTGAAATGTGCTATGGCTTGTTTAGATGACAGCTTCATGTCAAAACCTTTTCAATAGCTACTTTAGAACTATGTACATATTTGGTACCGGGAATCAAACTCAGGACCTAGAACTGTGTATTTTAACAAATGCTTCAATTTAACAAAATATGAAACAACAGTATCTGGTGTAGAACATAAATACTATCTAATCCTTGCAGTCACCTCCTCAGAGCAGACTGACAGTAAAGTTCAGTAGGTCTACTGACAGTAGACCTCAGAGAAGTTTGCGCTCTCTGTGATGGGGCTTGGAAGCCAGCGGATCTTCACGGTCCTCCTTTATGAACTGTACAGCAGCTGTTGCTGCTCTCAATGTGCTTCAAGTTCCTTCTAAACTGTCTTGTTTGCAGATGAAAAGGAAACACCAAGTGAAAAATGTACAGTGAAAGTGGCCCAAGTGGAAGCCATAAAGACATAATGGTTCCAATAGTAAATGGAAATGCTGAAAAATCTCCTGAATGTCCAACTTTTACTGCTCTTTCCCTCTGAAACACAGGCTTACTACCAGGAAGCAGCAGCTTGTCTTCACGCTACCAAAGCTGAAGAACAAAGCCCTCCCTTCCTCTGACAGGGTGCTCTCCGGGCCTTAAAAGAGGGAGGCTGGCTGGCTTGGGGCTGCATGTCACTGTGACTCTGCTTTCTGGGATCTAATTATAGTTGAAAAGGAAAGAGGAAATTAAGTCATAAGGCTTGGTTGTCCTACCTAAGGTTCAGGGCGGCAGAGCTGGCCTGGCCAAGAAAAAGGAGGCTTCAGCAGCCTGAGGCAGTGGTCGTATTACAGACAGCCAAGTTAGGTAGAAACATTAGCACAGACAGCTAAGTTAGGTAGAAACATTGGCAATCGGTCCCCAGACAGTCAGGCAGTCTTGGCTCAGTGAGACCCCAGAGATCAATGCAGAAGACAACTGTGGTTGAAAGCAGATTCACTGAAGGCCACCCTTCAAGAAAAAGAACTACTCATTCATGTACTTCCCCTGGGGATGAACAGCAGTGACTGATACTCTAAGCAAGCATCAATCACCTTAGGGTGGAGGACCAAAGCTCCTTAACCCAACCCTTCTAGGAAGAGTCCCTGTCTGGCCATGTGCACTCACTATAGGACTCGTTTCCCCATTTTATCCTCATTTAATCAACATTATCCCAGCAACTATGCTTGTATACTTATTGGTTGACCACAGTTTTGTTCCACCTTATACCCATCCTATGATTTGCTATTGGATCAATATTATCTAAGCAACTATACTCGTAATCTTACTGATTGAACTATCTTACTAATTCTGTCTCACATTAAGCTTGCTTCCCCTCATGGCTTTGCTCAGTAAACACCTTTGAGAAGCAGGTTTGGTGGGCAACCCACTTTCTAGGACCCCTTCTGTGCCTCTCAGACACAAACTTTCTCTCAATAAATTCTTCCTACCCTTAACCTCCATTGTTCCTCGAATTCATTCCTTGATTTCAGAGAACATGAGCTTGGCATTTTGGACATCTGGCAGGGAGTTTCATCCCCCTAAATCAGAAGCTTCTTCTCTCCACTAAACTTCTGAGTTATAGCGGCAGCATGGCCTTGTGGAGAGACAGTAATATGCACAAAGAAGAAAGTAATGGCAGGACCTAACATGGGCCAAGAGATGACTCCATGGCGCCAGGAGCTGGTGCTGTTGACTGGACCCCGTTCATCATCACCAATTTGGACAGGTCACTGAAAAGCAGCCACAGAGGCTGCAGGGTCTTGTAGCAGAAGTGAGGCAGTCTGACTCCAGGCTCACTGATCCCTAATTCCTTCTACGTGGATCCCTCTGTACTTCCACAAAAAGGAAATAAGGCCAATTCTAGAGTTATAAAGTCCAAAGTGCTGGTTTTACCATAATGATGATATAGCCTTTAAAAGTCAGCTACCTTTCCAAGCCTCTGGTTCATATAGCAGGTAACATCTACTAATCTATCAAATTACTGTGATAATTACAGAAATTAATGAAAAGATGCTGTCATCTAATAGGTGGTTCAGTGGTAGTTTTTATTGATGATTATAAAGCATGTTACCTATCACTGGTTTCTAAATTATTCACTTATATCATTTGTGGGTACGTGTGTACATGTATGTACCCATGTGCAAAGTACATATGAGGGTACTGTTGTGGTTGAAGGAGGAGAAATGGAAATGAAGAAAAGTTGTCCTTCATGACCACACTCGCATGCACACACACATACAAATGCATAAACACAACTCTTCCGAATTTATTTCACTGAAGGTGCAGAACATAACACTTTAACATTTTAATTAAGGTATGTAACAGATACACACAAGAGACCTCTTATGCTGGAATATTCAGTGGCCACAGAAGCAAAAAGGCAAACATTTCAGTATGCAAACACTGAAGCAGAGGGTAGACTAGCCATAGTACGGGTCTCAGAATCCATTCAGATCTTGATTCTAACAATATGTGGCTATGTAACCCAGGCCAAGAAAGAGTATTTCTCTTCAGAGGTTCAGTTTCTCTCATCTATAAAGTGGCTCTAATTTTGCCAGGTATTTTGGGCTAATGGTTACAATAAATATTAAGATATACAATGATAACATATGTAAAACATTGTTTCTAAATGGCAGACAAACTAGAATCACTGCTATGTCCCCTATGATAGCCCCGGCAGAAATCATCCTGAAGCCTTTGGTCCTAGAACTCTGGAAGTCTGAGGCAAGAGGATCACAAGTTAGAGCATAGCCCCAGTGATTTAGAGACCCTGACTCAAAATAAAAAACAGAAAGGGGCCAGGGGTGGGGAAATTGGTCAGGGAGAGGGCTAGTTTGAATCTCCAGTTCTGCCAAAAAAATTAAATAAACAAAAAAGAAGTCGACCTAAGCTTTCCTTTGGAATCTCTCTCAGGACTTTTCCAAAGACATGGCTTTAAAATTCACTAATATTAAAGCTTTCCTTAATTAGTTATAGAAAGACTTCAGTTAGAAAGTAATGTCTTTTTAAGCAGTAGGAGTAAATATTTTATTTTTACTACAAGTGAATGTATGGTTTATATTGTTTTTAACCACAAGAATTTTAATTAAAATTCTGTGAAGTCTAGATGGAAATACGACCTAACATTTTAGGCAAGCTTTGGGAGGCACAAGTTTGGCTAGCTAAAAAGCTGAAAATTGAATTTTTCTATGGGTGGTTTTTAATACACATATACACACTCATACACACACATTATCAAACATGAAGAACAGAGGGGTAAAGTTTGAAGAATGACAGAAAAAAATAACGTAAAGAAAGAAGTCAAGAGGCTGTCGAGCATGAAAGCAAGAGGAATGGGGTCAGGCAGGGCTGCCCAGGATGGACACAAAGCTCCGTCTCTGAAGGGGGTGCTGTGCGCCCTCCCTATCCAATACTACAGCAGGCCTCTTCGGTCTCCCAAGAGATGGGCACTCCATCAATACAAGGTATTATGCTTTCTGTTCCTATAACTGTGGGATTGATATTCCTTGGTAAGAGTCCATATTCGGCACAGAAGGAGCACAATCAGAAGCCTGAAACAGCACTTTCTCCTTTTTGTCCAACACAAAAGTCTCCTTCCAGTGTGTGACCTTTCATGCAAAACAGCTCATTTTGAAAGCTTAGTTCCAGTCCCCTAAAAATCCCTGGTTACAAGCCATGGGAAAGTATATCATGTGATGGAGGCATGGTCCTTTCTGAGTGGCGGAAAATGTCCTGCTACAGTCACTTGCAGTGAAAGGAACACAGTGCCCCTGCGTTAGCAGCACGCTGGCCCGCACTACACAGAGAGGAAAGCAGGCTCTCATTTCTCCACGACTCCTGCATTCGAGGTCACAATTAATAGGATCCCGTAGAAGTTTTATGAAGGTTTGAAAAGCATACCACACAATTAAATATTGGTTTTATTGTTAATAAAAAGATTCCCCCACATGCCAACTGGAGCAAAGCAGAGTGCTATTTTTCTTTCCCTGAAATTCAATGATTAAAATGTGTCGATGTTAGGATTTCTGAATAGTAGACAATACCATACTATAAATATTACAAATAATATACACAGTATACAGTAAGTACACAGAGGTTTTAAAATGAAGTCACTTACGAGGTCAGTAGAAGAAACAGTTGGAAAATCCTCTTGGGCCAGTGTAGCATCATTAGGTACTGACACATTAACTGTAAGAAAGGATAATTCGGACCTTAACAGTAAAGTAGAAACAGCCTAAATGAATAATTAGTTTGTTTTAAACAGAGCTAGGCATTTAAAATACCTTCTGTAACAATACAAAGCATGATGAATTTTGATTTATCATAATTGTTCACTTTGTACCAAGCTCAATCAAATAATCAAAGATTTAAATACATCCATTGTGCTCTAACACAATAAGAATAGTATTTAAGAAGACACCATAAAATTTATTGCAGTTTTTAAAACACACATACACACACACACACACACACACACACACACACACTATCTCTGTTACTAAAATGCAGCCAATATATTTTGGCTAGTGAAAGAAATTACTGCTAATAATCAAGTTGGTTACTGGCTTCAAGCACAGTAAAATCTCACAAATTCGAGCATCACTAAATAAGAATTTATTAATTTGAAAATTTAGACTGCATCTGAAAAAGTATATGTGTGCCATATGTGTTCATATGTGTATGCAAATTAAACAGCATTAAGTATAATGGGGATGAATAACTTAAAAAATTGTTTTCATACAAAAGTTCTTTTCATACAACATAGCACCTTTGTAGATTTAGGATGTCACTTGCAGAACTTTATTTATGAAGCCTACTGTCCCTTTGGTTTATGAAAATTAAAACAGTATTTTCATTAAAACATTCTTCTTTACCAGATAAAACTCTTTTCCTCTCATGGGAAGCTTCCTTTATTATAAAGTAAACAGTTATTCAGAGAATATTCTTCACTTATGGCTGTTTGAAATGACACCCTCGGATTGTCTGTCTATGAAGGAAGAGCATAGAGCTCACCAACATTCAAACAGCAAACTGTAAACAGGGTCCCCACCCTCTAATCCAAATCCCCGCACTAACTCTTCCATTAGCAAGACTCTGAACCCACCTGGACAAGCCTTAGAGGAGAAACACGCAGGTTTATTTGATGTGTGGAAGTCAGGATATGAGACCCGTGTGGGAACAACAAAAGCAGGTCACGTAAACTGATTTTGCCTAAAATTTACCATTCTACTTCGTAACACAGGGGAATTAAAAAATGTTTACTGTCATAAAGGAAGCTAGTAAACAAATGGAACAAGAAAAACAAACTAAAGGAGACAACATTTTGGCCTGGGCCCTCATCTGTTCCATTCTGGATCCCTTCTGGTCTCTGGGCTCTGACTCCCCAGGAGGAGCGACTACAGGCTCTCTGAACTGCCTGTCTGCTTCCTCTGCCTCGCGATGAATCACGTGCAAGAGCAAATGAACTAAAGATGTTTGGCCCAAATAATGAAACAAACAAGAATCCATTCACTCAAAGAAAGATATTAATAAATGATTACTAACAAAACCTAGCCTTTTATTACTTTTTGTTTTAAAAAGCTCAAAGTGAATTTGTTTTACATTATTCCACTTGTTTATTTAAAAACATCCTGGGTTGCTTCTCAGCCCTTTGGCTAAGATCAAGGGTAGTATCTGTTCTCTTCAGTTTAAAAACATCCTGAAACATGCCATACATATATTTTGTGCCCATCTTATACCCTGCAGGGACTCCAAAGCAAGACATGGCAGATGACATTTCCAGCATTACAGTCATAAGTAAAGCTGGTGCCTTGACCATGTTGAGCATTTTGTCTCCTCCTACACAGCATTTCTAATCATCACATCAAGGCGATTTATGTGGCACAAAATTTAAGGCAGGACAGGACAGCCAATATCAGATGATAGGATTATCAACGGTGAGCTGAGTTCCTGAGCCTCTTGAGCTTTCAAAGACAAACAGCGAATGTGAAGTCTCAAGGCGCTATGTAGATGGTGTCTGGGAAACTACACTTCCTGAGCTACATCCTTTAATGCAATTTCATGAGCTTCCTGTCATAAGACATCAAAGACCCTTTCTCAACACACTTTCTGCACTAAAACAAGGGTTAAGTCCCTACTTTATGAAATCAATATTGGATAATAGAGATCAGGGCTGCACTAAAGCAGGATTTCAATATGCAGTCTTATAATTGCTCTCAAGATTTGGATACATGTCAATTCTGCTTTTTTTTAACGTTTCATTTTTTTTCTCTAAAGCAAACTATTAAGTTTATTGGTTCTCAAAATCCCAGATCAGCATCTAGACGACACGAAAAAGTATGTAATCCTTTCTCTACACATTTTAATGAGTAGCTGTTTCAAATGAAAGACTTCAAAAATAATTATATAATAAAGCACTTCTGTAAATACATTTTGGCAGGATATTTGGGTGCATAAATAAGATTAAAAGTAAATTTCCTTAGGATCATAGATGAGTAAATGATCAATTACACCTGGGAGCTTGGTCTAAAAGAACCACCAGCCACTACCTGGATTCAGACACGAAGTGCAAATACTTTGGCAACCAACTGCAAAATGATCCATTTATATGAGACCCACAATATCCTTAATGAGGGTGCTGGAAAGGCCACATGGAAAAGACAAAATATACTGTGATATCTCCTCATTATTTGCCCCACACCATGGCTTATGAAGCAAGACCATGGCTAAGCACCTGTCAATAGGTCACCTCTCTCCCATACTTAGGGAGGGAGTTGTAGGGAGTTTCCAGGGTCGATTGCTTTCCACTGGTTAGGTTTCTACGTGCTCCTCCTTTCCATGCATCAATTTGAAGCTGACCTTCTGGAACAGGGGAATGGATGTTATTTAGTAACAGACATTTTAAACTGTGTCTGAGACTTTTGTACCCTAAAATGGCCTTTCATTATGTGTAATGAGAGGTCTGGAGAAGAACAAGATCAAATAAGGCTTCAACTGGGAGAGCTACGAGCAGAAAAGCGAGGTGACACCAGGGGCAGCGTTGGCAAGCTCCTACACAGGGACCATCAGTGGCACTGCCTAAGCCTGTCCTTGTGCTGGTGAGAAGTTTCCAGAAACTCCCTACCCACGGTGCCACCACTAGGCACCTTGGCAGGAACTGTGCATTAGGAAGCACACACTCAGCTGAGGCCACAGCTTAAATAAAGACAGCAACTGGTCACTGAGGGCGGACAGGTCTGCTCTGAGGCATCTCACAACACAGAGAAGGGGGCATTGGGCATTTGTCCTAAATTTTGGTTCCACCAACTTTGGTACACAGCATTCTCAAACTTTCTTACCAACAAACAGTCTTGAGAAAGTAGCTTCACTCCTCTCAACTTCAGGCCCCTTAATATGTGAAAATGGAGTTGAAACAATCCACCTGGTAAGTGGATCAAACTGCACAACAAAGGAAAGCGGCCAGCAGTGTGTCCAGTACCATGGAAGAAGAGCTAAAGAAATGGTGCCCAAATGATAACAGCTCTCAGACCCAGAGAAGGCACTCACCCGCCGGGAGAATATCAGCCACCCTTTATGGGTTTTGTGATGATTAAATACACATATGCTATCAAGTACACTTCATTAAACTACTCCAGGATAATGGCTGGCATTAACAGGATTCTTATTAAATATTAGCATCATCTGAATCTTCACCTTCAACATAGTTTCTCAGAGTTACAGTCATGCGGAGCTGATTAACATGCAGTGAGTAAGAGAAGCTGGAGGATGATTCTCCACAATTACAAAACTCGAATGTCTTATTCCATTCTAGCTAAGCAACACCTTAAGGAAACTGAGCTAACTGGAAAAGACACAGTCACAGAGGACACAAATGAACACAGAGGATCCAAACATACTACTTGCTATGTGGTCATACCCAGTTTTATAAGGATAGGATAACTTAAGCATACTAGTATCTCTTGGTAAAGTACAGTATTCCTGCTCTAAATTTCTAGATCAATAAAAGGGCAGAAATGGTTTTTGCAGGAGGACAAAGGGAAGCAGGAAAATTCTAGCGGAAGTAACTGTTGGGGAAAATTATCTGGCACTCTCTCAGCCTCAAGTATTAAACAAAATTAATGTTTCTTATGTAGCGATTACTCCTATGAAAGCTTCCGTCTCCATACCCACCCATTATTACATTTGTGATATGCTACAGACATTACTCTGGGGAAATTTATAAGTGTGTGTTTCATGCAAAACCTAAGCTACAAAGTTTTCTAGGTCTTGTAATAATCCAAATTCACTGCTCCTCCTTTTATGATTCTCACAAGCATTATTCAGAACTGCCAAAATACAGGTTAGGACAGTAAAAGGAAGCTAACATGATGGCAGTTTCGAGGATCTGTGGTTTTCTCAAAGGACCACAATACAATGAAGGAGAAGGCACCGACTGTCCTGGTGAAGGGCCTCCACAAGCGCCAGCTGAGCAGCGTTGTACCAGTGCTTGTCCTTCCTATCCTGACCTTTAGTTCACGATGAAACCTAACGTAAACAGCACAGCACACACAGTAAAACTTCATGTGATACGGTACAGTACAGGGAAGGTAAGATTCTCTTTCATTTCCTCATTTTCTTTCAATGGGCTTAATCGTGAAATATATATTGACTACAAGATTGGACCACAGGAAACACAATTCAACAGATCTTGTTAAAGTCACACTGTATATATTAGGGCAACAGAGAAATCATATAAAAGAAATGGTTTTTAAATTCAACTGTAGTGATAACTATCTTGGAGCATTTGGAAATCTTGATGCGAATGAAGGTATAGAACAGAGGCCATAGCTATTTCCAGTCACTTGGCTTGGTCTGATGGCTCCGTACCAGGGACACAGCCAGGTTTTGCTCAGAGAGGACAACAGGCATTAATGCTCAGTGTCTGAGAAAGAATGTCCTCCTCTGAATTATCAAGCATGTTCCCTGGGGCAGTCAACAATGGATCAATAAAATATATCTCCTCTGTTAACAGTAGAGAGCCAGCCCCTTGAGGGTTCTTCTTGCTTTTATAACTCATCCCTTTTAGCAAGGCACCCTTCTCCTGAAGATATAAGACCAACAGGAAATTTAGCTTGCCATTTTCTAAAATACTAACATACCCTCAGTACAGTTACCAAAACCTTCACACATGAGGCTAGTGAAAAGCACGGTACTGGAATAAAAATGTACTTCTAAGGTCTGGGCCAAATAACAACTGAACGTATGTTCACACAATAATAATTGACTTTTTTTTCAAAAATAGTATCTTTTATGAAAAGTAACATGTCTAAGTATTCATACGTTTTCTACTTCATTGCAAGTAGCACAATTCCTAGAAAGCAACGAAATGAACTCTCAGTAAAACTTTGTACAATGGGTAGAGGAGAAAGGAAAAAGGACAAAAGAGACATGAAAAGCTGACCCGAAGGCTTCCTAGGACAAAATTCTAGAATGTTTTTGAATGAATTATATAGATTTTTCTTAGATCCAAAAACACTGCCTGCAAGACTTTAAAAACTTTTTCTGCACAATTATATTAACACTGTTATCATCTAGAGATTCAGTGGTACGCAGATACTGACGTTCTTAATTTTTTTCCTTAAATATAACTTCAAGTGTTTTGCATTTGTCCACAATATCACACTAGTTGTTAATTATTTTAGGAAGTAGGGATGCAGCAAAAGCTTTACTAAGTAATTTTTCCTCGGAAAATTTCTGAAAACTTAAATATATGAACCTCTGGTTTACAGAAGTAAGGCAGATCAAAGAACACAGCTAAGAGATTAAATTGTGCCATCTTTTGTAGGATAGTGAAAAATATGAAAAAGAATACATTTTTATTCAGTGTCTATTAGGCACCAGGAAATTTTACATATACTATGTCATTTAGTGTTCACAGTCAAAGTTAAAGAGAAGGTGCAATTGCTAAAGCAGTACATAGCTAATGACACTGACACAGAGATTAAATACTGAATCAAGCTCACAGTCACTCTGCTGGTTTGTGTCAGAGGTGAAATTCAAACTTAGCTTTTCTCCAGAGCACATATTATTTATATTTTATCACATGGATAATTTTCTATACTAAGATGAAATGAAATATGCTGAGATGCCCTTCATTGGATATTGCTGTTTTATTTTTGGATTTTGAACTGAATTATCTTCTTTCATATGTACTCCTGCTATATATAACTATCAAGGTAGGTTGGGGAATATAACATTACTTGTTTCCATATTCTTTAATAGAGATTTAATTTTTAAAAATAGGAATTTAATGCAAAATTATGCATTCACCTAAGAAAGTCGTATGTTCTGGCTCACTTGCCTTCTTAGTTTTTTACTGAATCTGGCATATATCAACTGTTACCAATCTATAATTTGAGCTGAAAGAAAGGGGAAAAAGTACAGTCAGAAAAGGTACATCAGGGCATGATGAAGGTTTATGGAATAAGGCTGATCAAATATAAAAAGAGGAAGAATTATCTCCACAAAGACAAAAAAGGCTGGGAGTTTTCTTATAGTTTTAGTGACTCCTCACTCCCACTAAGTAAACTCATTCATGGCTCAGTTTGCAAGCCCACGACGCTGGGCAGTTTGTGGTTATACACAGTACCCTCCCGGGGTTTAAACAAGTCATCAGCCAATTTAAATATTATTGATTCATCGATTGAGCTCTTCCCCTAAGCATGCATGTTGTGATGAAAGGCTGGTCTTCTGTTGTTTTTAGAATACTCACTAAGACTGTACATGAATCTGCATTATTCTTTCATTAACACTTTTTAGTCTGTACCAAAGACTATTACATTTATGATGGATCTATGCAGCTTGCTACTGGAACTATTAAGATTATATGAAGGTTGTCAGAAAGTATTAAGGTTATGATGGAAATATATAAACACTAGCCTTACAGTCTACACAACATACACAAAGACTAGTTTTATAAAGCATGAGACTGTTACAAAAATGCAGGTAACATCCATTTGCCTTTTTCCAAACCACTGACACATTTCACCACCATAGGTGTAAAAAAAATCTCTCCTCCCTGTGTGCACATCTGGACCACTGCAGTGGTACAGCCAACAGCATAGTTGAAAAATGAGCTTACTGCCTGACAAAGTTCAATCTCTCTCTCAGAAATGAGAGACAGATGTATGTAACACAATCATCTATCCTGAAATCTAAATGCTAGCCCTAAATTTTAAGGAAAGTTAACAATATTCATGCAGCTAGCATTTACTCAGTACATATTTTAAAACATCTGATGTATTTTTATCTACATTCATCTCTTATTTTTTTCAAAACAGTTTTATAAGACTGTACCATTAGTAGCCCCATTTTACAGAGGAGGAGGGTAAGCCTAAGCTACCAGAGTCACAGATTTGGCATTAGCCACTGGGGACTTGAACTCAAGATATTCTGGCTTCAAAGCCCATTATGTTGCTTTACACCAGTACCACAGGTATAGGAATTGTCAGAGTCCTTCTGAGACAACTCCTTGGGGGCTTAAGGCTGATTTCTTCCACTCTCTGGGGAAAACAGGAAGTGCAGTGAATGTATTCATTATGTATTACAAGCTTGTACTAATTAAAAATAAGAATAATGACAAATGAGGAAAAAAAGCATAAAAAAGAAAAAGCTACTGCCTTAGAGCCTACCCTTGCCATGCATATTTAAGTTGCTTCAGCCCTCAGTGTCCTGTTGCCAACAACAGAGCCTTCCTCGAAGGGGACTTGCATGGGAAATCTTTGTTGAATGTTGTACAAGGTAAATACATTGATGTAAATCTTCCTTGGTTCCATATTACCCTTTCTGCAACATCCAGTGAAAACAATGAATGCAGGGCTGCACCAGCTTGGGAAGGCACGCATCTCTACTGATGACCAAGTGACCAAGCCCTCCTCTGGCTGTAGGAGCACCCAGTACACAAAAAGCTGAGAGGAAATTCATGTCTTTAGAAATCTTAATAAAGTCAGCTTAGTGAAGTCAGAGGAAGAGAGGGGAGAGGGGAAAGGGAGAGGGGAGAGAGGAGGAGAGACAGAGACGGAGACAGAGACAGAGACAGGGAAGTGACTAGCAGAGCTCAAAACCCTACCACTGACATGTCTGGAAGCTGGATGTCTGACTGCCTGGGGTCCCTGTGTGCACAGGCTGAATGGCCAAGGGGTTCGCCCTTCTCTCTCAGAAGAGTCCTTCACAGTCTTGGCTCTCTGGGGATCGCACTGAATTGATTCTAACTACAATGCAATGTGTGCCTGTTCCATTGTGAGAAGTTCTAGAATTATGACACCCAGGAATTCCAAAGCAGCACACTTTGTTGTACTCCCAGGGTGTTAGAGCTGTACGATATTTGAATCTTTAAATTTCCACTTAGGCTCTCTCTCAGTTTTGCTTTTAAGTACAGGTTTTATTTGACTGCTGCTTTTCCTTAAGACAAAAATTACAGAGTCAAATACAAGACAATAGAAAGCAAAGAAACATCTTTTTGTCACAGGGAAGGAGACCAAGAGTTGGAAGGGAAGAGCATGAAGAAACGAAAATGTGCTGTGTACAGTGTCAGTGCCCCACAATGAATGCAGCCACTACACATTGCAACTATTTATTAATAAGACAAAAAGAGCCTGGGAGTGCGAAGCCCAAGATTGCTTCTGCTTCCTCACACAACTGAGCACCCCTGGGAGATGCTGAGCCCGTGTCTCCGCCTAGCTGCAGGGCTTCCCGGGCTCTGCACCAGGAGGCAGAGCAGAACGGCTGCCACAGGGAATTGTGGGTAATCTCACACAGCCTCCCACAGGCAAGGAAAATCTCTGCAGCATCTTACATTTCACAATCATAAGCATGTTGTATCTGGTCTGCAGTATAAGCATGTCTATTTCATTGTCAATGTGAAAAAGATTTCCCTCAGAATCCTGAAGTTAAAGGGATATTGCATGAATTCCTCCCAATTTACATCCCAAGTTTACACCATCCCTAGAATACTGCTGCACTCCTGGTGACACGAAACAATACTCAGCAGCGTGGGTATCACGCTCCACAGTACTGTGACCCCAAGTTATGCAATCCGCCTTAAAGTATCCCTGTCAGAGACACAACTTTCCCTTAACTCTACGAGAACAGATGTAAAGCAACTTTCACCAAATCAAATTGTTTTTCCACATATCTTCTATAGTATAAAATTAGTGATGAATTATTACATGGAAAAAAACAACTTTAAAGACCAAGTTGGACACTTTTTTCCTTCTGTAAGCTTAAAAGAATCTATTTAAATGTTATTTAAAAGATAATATCCCCAGAGCAATAAAGAAACAGTGAAATATGGAATACAAACTCAGCAAATTTAGATTTATCTGATATTTTACCTGTTAAAACAGTACATGTACCTAGATCTCCTTGCCACAAGAAGCCGAGAATAATGCACAAATTCTTTACCATATAGCAGTTTGAATTAATTTCAGCGTTTTGAGCTGGCTTTGTTCATACTCTAGAAAACTCAATTTTATTCCCAATGGAATAAAGGTTTCCAATTCAGCATGATGGTTCCTGAGGTAGCAGACTCTTGCCTGAAGATCATTATTCCACCTGGAAATGTTCAGGCACGGAGCCTGCACCTTTCTGGAAGCACAGGGCCCCCACAGGCAGTAAGTGAGGCATCCTCACCTGGGTCTGGTGGCACACAGGCACAGGAGAAGAGCGTATTGTAGCCCACTTTGAAGTCGGAGTTGATGGGATAATAATCAGCTAGCTTGATCATCTTCTTGAAAGCATCATAGATAAAGATAAAACTGATCAGAGAAGAGAAGCCCTCTTCTGTGAAACGAGTGAAATACTGGACCAAAAAGCTGGCATCTGTGGCCACCAAAATGAGGCACAGGAAGGCTGACCATAGGCCGATCCAAAGGCGAAACTCCAAGTAGTCAAAATTATGGTCCCTGGAAAGAGGAAAGAAATGCACTTAACATCTTCTGTGATGAAACATACAGAACCGAAAACTACCAAAAGCCTGCAGGATGATGGCTAAAAACACAAAATCTTTAGCTACTAGATACAAAGCTCAATTCTATCCACAATTTTTAGGTTTAAGTATTTTGTCTAGTAGAAGAGATAATTTCAGAAGTCTGAGAAAAGCACATGGAAAGAAGCCATACCATGTGTACATGAATAACTCATTAATTTTCTCATTCAAAAATATGGGATAATATTCATGCATTCATGAAGTTTTCAGAGTAAACAACTCAAAAGTACATTGGCACCTGCTATGCACTTAATAAATGTCAGTTTACTGGTTAATGGAGACATCAGATCAGTATGTTCTGAGTCCCCAAACCTCTGCAGTCTACTGAGAGAGACAAATTGATAAACATCATAAAATAATAAGTGACAGTGTTGTGGTAAAAGGAATAATCAAATCTAGCAAGGAGGATGGATGAAGTTGAAGAAAAAACTCAAGATGTTCAAGCATAAATAAGAACTTTTCAGAATAGGTAAAAAGGCCCATAGCACAGGACAGCACCCGATATTCACTATGAAGAGAGGGCCACCAGGAATCAACGTGGGCCACCTTCAGGTCTGCAGAGGCCTCCGGGCCACGCCACACCACACACTTCTCACAAGGCTGCCCACAGACATTGCACCTTTTCACTGAAATCAGTGTGAAGTCACCTTGTGAGCAGTCCTGTGCACACTTAGCCTGGGCCACCTCCATCTGAGGAAGTTCTGCAGTTTTCCAGTGTGTTTCCCATTTCTTACATGGGAATTTGTTCAAGATTCATAACCAGGAAAAGATGCCTCAAGGGTTGACATTTTATGATTCCATACTGATTCTTTAAAAATTAAGTGGAGAGGGGCACATCACGCTTAAATTTATCAATGATTAAAAAGCAGACTATCACTTTTTGCCTAGTGAGGAAAGACTGCATGTGCTTGAAGCTCTCCACCCTGGCTTTCAGAGGACAGGTTTCTCACAGCTACTAGAGTGGGACGAACACTGCTCCACTTTCCTTCCTGCTGACCTGGTTTGTGGCCCCAGTAAGAACTGCTGCCCCAACCTCCAACTCCCTGGGTCACCCACACCTGCTCTACCCAATTCCAATTCTGCTCCACAACCCACAACTGCAACGATCTCTTTTAAACGCAGACAGATACCTCAGTTTAAAACTGTTCAGTGTTTTCCCACCACTTACAGAAAGAAATTCTGATTCATTACCTAGCACAGGGCGCTCACAGAGAAGGCGCCTGGTAATGATTTGGGGGCACTGGTGGCTGAAGACCTGGCTGCGACAGCGACTCACACATCCCTGAGAACCAGCACATATAACTAAAGGGGCTGTACCTGTGCCAGGGGAAAACTAGAGGGCACTGCACTTCCAGCTGAAAATCAGAGGCTATTACATTTAAAACTGTCTTAGATACTGTGATGCTTAAGTCTGTGTCAACTGCGGTGGATGACAGGGTACCCAGATATTTGGCCAGACATTTCTCTGGGTATTTCTGTAAAGGTGTTTTTGGAGAGATTAACATGTAAATTTGTGGGACTTTCAGGAAGTAGATGATTCTCTATAATTCTCATCCAATCAGTTGAAGATGACGCAGAACAAAAAGATTGGGCTCCCCAGAGGCAAACAAGAATTCCCCAGTCCCCTGCCTTTGAACTTCATCTGTGACATCAGTTCTTCTGGCTCTGTGGGAAACAGCTTCAGATTAAAACTAAATACTGGTTCTCTGGGGTTTTTAGCCTGCCAGCCTGCCCTGCAGACTTTAGACTTGCCAACTTACAAGGTCATATGAGCCAATTCGCTATAATTTATCTCTTTCTGCATCTGCACGTTATTGGTTCTGCTTCTCCAGTGTCCAGACAAATACAGACACCAATTTGTCAACAATGCCTCATTTTACATATAAGGGTATGAAAGCCAATGGATATCAAATCATTTATCCAATGTCAACATTTTAATGGCAAAGTTGGACTAGAAACTAAAGCTCTTGAATCTTGGAATGATCCTTTTAAAAATTATACAATAGCCCCCACCATCACCAACCACCATCTGAGCTGCATTTATCTCAAGATAGGTTAAGCATTAATGTTATGTTCTCTGCACATCTCAGCAAGTCAGATGAATTGGAAAATGCTGCACAGAGAGGAAGAATGCACAGATTGTACAGATTTCCTGAGACTTTCTTTTTTTTTTTTTTGTACTGAAATCAAACTCAGGGTTTCGCACTTGCCAGGCAGGTGCTATGCCCCTGAGCTACATCCTCACCTCTCCTGAGACTTTCTAAAGAGAGTTTTTCCATTTCTTTCCAGTTGTGTGTGTGTGTGTGTGTGTGTGTGTGTGTGTGTGTGTGTGTGTTGTGGGTACAATTCTAGTGTTTAACTCTCATGAAATAAGTACAACACAGGAAAAGTTGAGTTCTAATAATGTAAATTATCTAGTTGAGATAATTTATATTACCATGCAATGAATTACTGTTGGTATAAGAATTAAGAAGCACTGTTTTATTAATTCTAAGTCAGTAGATTTTTTTCTTAGAAGTTTAAAACAATTGCTTAATTTTTCTTCCCTAACAAGATGAAAGCACAATTCCAATTCATTCTAAGAGTACTAGTGGTTGTTATGGAATTGATGTTTCTAGGACAGGATGAAAAATAAATCCATTAATTAATTAATGGCTAGAAATATCATTGATTTGAGTACAAAGGGAAGAATGCATGTATAAACCTGTATAAACTTACATTTAAGAACCTAAACAATTTACCCAAAGTAGCTGGTTACATATTCCCAGAGTACTTCAATGAGAATGACTCAAAAAAAAAATCACTAAAACCTATGGCACTTTGGTATAAAAGTGTTATGCTTTGATTAGCAGAAAGAGAAATAAGAGGGGAAACAGTTTGATGATCTGAAATGACTCTACCTAACCTACAAAAATAGGATTTACCTGTATGTCCAAAGAAAGGTAAAATATGTTGGGAAGATCTTGGAAAGACAAAGTAAAATAGTTTCTTTACTGCATGAACTCTAGATCCTGCAGCCTGCTGAGCAGAAAGTGAATTACCACGAGGGAAATGTAACACACAGCACTTCCTGGGCTGACTGGGAACACAGAAAGGTTTCCAGAGAGCATCTCATGCACCCAGAGATGGATGAAACATGCTTTGGGAAACGGGGGTCAGTAAGATTCAGTAGCCCTAAACAAGATATAGCCATTGAACAAATTCATGTCATTGCAAGCAACGCGTTTGCCACATATTACTTATTTATTTCGAATTGCTTTACAACTATTTCCAAATACTGCAAATTACTTGGACGAATGTAACAATAAAACAGGAGTGACAGTGTAACAGGAACTTGCTTAATAAAGGAACCAATCTCTATCCTGCAACTACTAAGGCAACTCAGGATCCAAATGTTTTCTGCAGACTAAGGCTCTGATCACATTTTATCCAATAAATCTCTCTGCAAACACTAAGCATGTTTGTTCCTGTTTATACTACATGCTTGTTCAATCTTTGCATAAAGGCTTTCTTGTGTCACAAAATATTTTCTTAAACATATAAAAACTGATTCTATAAACTGACATGAATAAAATCCTTTCCAATGTTCTCGGAATTATGATGGCAGAGAGATTTTAATAATGATCTACAGAAAACTCACATCATTTAAAATTTGTAACTTTAAACTCTCAGAAAACTTAGAGTTGTGAACTCAGTTTTCAGAATAAGTAAAAGAAAAAGGAGTTTCTAATTCTTATTTGCTCCTTTATGTTTAATGACACGCACGGTTGAAAGGATCTATAAGAGCCCTTAAATCCAGGAGGTACTATGTAGATGATAACTATTCTAAAATTAATTTCTTAAAATGCCCACTATCAGAACATGGTCATTCTAACTTAGGGTGCTAGCAATACATAAAATTCTGCAATCCAAGGATGAACATTTGCCACTAAATATAATTCTTACTTAGCAATATTAAGTAGAGGAGAGAAACACCTGGATACCAAATTTTATTTTGAATTTTTGCATGCTAAAATGACCATTTAGTTTAATGGTTAAAATTTAGTTCATATTCCTTTTCCTGGAATGACCCACAGTTTCTAAAAGAAAACAGTGATGTTATTATTTTGTGTTCACTAGCAGCATCTTATGAGTCCTTTAGAGGCCTGGGCTCTGGAATCAGAAGGCAGGAATTCCAATCCCAGCTCTACCATCCACTGCTGATGGAACACTTGACAATTTAATTGCTTATGCAGTGCCTGCTTTTCCACCTATAAACCAGGTACAGTCCCTGACTCACAGGACTGCTACGTGAACTAAATGGGTTAGCAAATGTGAAGTTCTTAGGATGATGCTTGTTCAATAAATGTTAGTTAGGATTCGGCCGAGCCCTGAAAGCTACGTTCAGTGAAGAGTTCTAGACCTGGGAAGAGCATATAGTCTTTTTTCATTACTGAACAAGTGACTTTAAACTATTCATGTGATCTCTTTGGTAGTCTACTGGTTTGGTTACGGCAGGAAATGGCATGCTCAAATGGAATGCCCAGGAAAACTCAGTGAATGGCACCTTTACCAAGAACAGTGAGGTACTGCAGGAGCCACCACAGCAAGAAGCCATCATCCACTGCAGGTACGAAAAAGGCCACAGAAGGGAGATACCAGATCCTGGAGGCAGGACAGAGGTGAGAGTCCCAGAGGATGAGCCACTGCCACGCTGCTGTGCTAAGTGGAGAGCAGGGAGAGAGGGGGACATGCTAGGCCTCTTGCTCTCTCTCCTGTCCTGCTGCAGCTCCTCACTGGCCAAACTAAGGAAACCAGAGAGCACAGGCCTGGGGGTCGGAGTCCTCAGGGGTCTGCACCCTGGGGCACAAAGCAATAGGAGCACATAATAGTTGGGGAAGGAGCAGTATAAAACACAACAGACGGGCCTCAGTTGAATCAAGTGTAAAATGGACTACATAAGGTTAAGTAAGGTTCTTTCAACTCTGAAATCTTAACATTCCAGTATTCTGACTGATTCATGCACCTACCTAATTGCTTCTCTGTGCTTCATCTCAGCTATAAATGTTCTACAACCAAATAATTCTAATTTATAATTACATATATATGTATATATACATACTTGCTGAAATTAAATAGAAGCCTCTCAAAAACTAAGACAGGTCCTGTGCTGCTCAAAATAGTGAGTGGTTGACCAGCAAAAAGGCAAAAGACAGCTCCAGAGACAGCAGTGCCCAGGAAGCTCTCCAACACGCCCTAAAAGACAGAAAACACGGGTGTTAAACGAGACACATCTTCTTCCCTTGTGTGACGTCAGTGCTTGAGTGTGTATGATGAGGTCGCCAGCAAACCGTCAGGAGTGCAGAACAGTGAGAATGCTGCACCGCGCATGTCAACTTAAAATCAGGGTTTCTTTCTCCATCCCACAAGTGGGCCACTTGACAAATGCTAACAACCGTACCAGCTGTAAGGAGCAGGCAAACGAAGGCTTTGAGCTTTGATAAGAATGAACTCTGCCATAAAGAAGGATAAATTTGAGTCATCTGTAAGGAAATGGCTGTACCTTGAGACCATAATGGTAAGTGGAATAAATTAGACACACAAGCTTCAATGTTACATGCTTTCTCTTACCTCAGAAACCCAAACTATAAACAGAGAAGAAAACAGAAGATAGACAATATGAAGTAGGGAGACAGATCTTTCTCAAAAGGAAAGGAGATCAAGAGATGGGGGGGAAGGGGTGAATAACAGAAGAATGTCCACGGCCAGCTCCCCACAAGGACTGAGATCATTATGTAACACAAAGGTGGACCAATGAAAATAAAACCTGAAAAAATTAATCGTGGGTAATTCTAATTAAGAAAAATTGTATAATCCCACCAAATGGGTGGAACTGACCAGTGGTTTAGGTCCATTTTTCTCTTACAGTTATCTTCAGTCCTGTTTCACCCCAATTTCACACAATACATATGGACACTTAAGTAGCTACATTTTACATAAAAGCTATTGCATAAAGGAAAGGGGAGGAAGGCAGAGTAAGAAAATGATTTCCATTCCATCCTGTAACTTCTATGGCACAGATTTCAAAAAAGTCTCATTATATACACGTTATTCAATATACACACACAAAAGCTTTAACTAACTGATCTCTAAAAGAAATAAATGTACAGTTATAAACAGTTAAACCTCTGTAGGCACAACTCCTTGAAGATCAATGTGTCATTTCCTTTTGCACAATAAAACAAAGCAACATGTCATGAAGAATCACTGCCTTACAAACTGACGTGCATCTTTTTTTTTTTTAAAACTGGGGGTTGAATCCAGGGCCTTATGCATGTCAGGAAGGTGCTCTCATATGGAGCTGCGTTCCCAGCCCTGTTCTTTTTATAATTTTTATTTTGAGATAAAGTTTCACTAAGGCCAACCTTGCTGAGACCAACCTTAAATCAGAAATCCTTCTGCAGCAGCCTAACTGGTAGCCGTAATTAAAAGCATGCATCTCCACACTAGGCTCAATCCTAACTTACCAATCAGATTTAGTACTAACACTTCTGATGATAGCTAACTAGTTTGTTTCCTGTACTTTTCATTGTTTCAAATATCAGCTAGAACAGCACATTCATATTTGTAGAATAATCTTTTTTTTTAGCTTAGTATTTTCTTAAGGGTTACCTTTTAAATGTAAAGAGAGGTCAGAGACCATTTATTCATCCTTAAATCCACAGATCTAAACATTAAAATCAAGTACTTTAAGCACAAGGTCCTGAGTTTGATCCCTGGTACCCCCCCCCCCAAAAAAATCAAGTATTTTTCAAATGAATGAACCGTACAGATTTCAAGAGCACAATAATATAAATATATAAATAATGTAAACATAGATTAATTTACCCAATAGAGCAAAATTATGTGATCTCTGTAATTGCCTGTATGTGTTAGATATTATAGAAGATATTCCTCCTCAATTGAGCAATAAAGCAGCTGTTCTTAAAAATAGAGCTTACATTCAGAAAGCTACTTCTTACTCCACACCACTCCTCACCGGGGTTGATTAGACTTCTGGGAAACTGAGGTCTCTCCGTCACTGTCTTCGTTCCTAATCCCAAAAAAGCAGCCTGTCTACCGGCTGCCCTCACTAAACCCCCTCTTCCCACTGTGTTGGAACTTCTCCAGCAATTTGTCCTCCACACCATTTTTTGAGAAAATTTAATGCATAGTAAATGATTATGAAGAAATTGGTTTTAATGTTCAACAGAATTTACTTACATTAACTTCCAGCACTAGTCAAAAACCATCTTTGAGACCCCACTGTGGTGATTAGTCGAAGTATTTTTACACTGCTTCAGAGTCAGGCACATTCTCCTGAGAGTGACATGACAGCAGAGAATCCTTTTAAGATTAGAAAGCAGGTGACACCCTTTTGAGTAGCACCAGATAATAATGGAGCTAGGTGGGAAGGGGCAGGCACAAGAGATATGTGGAGTAAAACCAGCTTCTCACACAGTACGTGAGCTGGCTCTGACGTAGTCCAGGCAGCTCCTGTCCAGGGGGAGGTCCTGGTGGGGTCTCTGCAGGGAGGTCTGCTAAGGACCCTACTTATGTAGATGTGAGCCTCTAAGTACAACTGAGGGGGTGACTTCATGGTTCAGAGCCCTTCTACCTGGTTCTTTTATACAGAAACAGAACTAATGCATCTTTTATAGAGAAACAGAACCAATGCATTTACCCAGGAAAGTATTTCCTTATTACCCACAAACACTATTTGTCCTGATTTCCTGGGTTTAAATATTGATGTCTGAGGAGATATATGACATGAACATTCAACATGGCACATACACCTGTCTAACCACACCTCCATCTTGGCAAGGATAAAGGTGTGTCTTTGGATCCAATATTTAGTCATACAGATTTTTAGCTCCTATGCTTTTCATGGCTTTGTAATTTATCTTTCTGTCTTTGCTTTTACATTTTTGTTTTACAACTTACATGAAGGGTTAAGCACTTGAAAGCTCCACGTGGCAGGAAAAGCCACACCCTAGGTTCACATGATAGGTGCATCATTCTTTATTAGATTCATGGAAATGCTTATTGCTCATCACTACTGCAAGATAGAAACAGTGCAGGCTGGAAACAGGGAAGAAAGGATGAATGTGAAATTCAGGACTCTCTACTCAACATAGCTATTAGTCAGTGAAGAGGCAAAAATAGCCTCTTCCAGCCTCTTTCATGTCTCTTCTCCTGTCGTCACGCATCATCACTGTTCCACGTGCTCTTTAGAGACTCAGGAAATCCTGGAGACCCTGGAGAAACCATCCCCAAGTGACTTCCTAGATCCAAACAAAGGTCCACAGCCAGAGCTCCTCATTCAGTAAGAACAGCAAACAATTTTCTTTCCAGAAAATGACTTTGATTTATGGAAGTCTTGTGACATTAAAGGTTGATTATTTTTATTTCAGTATTTGATCCTTTGGTAAATACTAGTTTTCCATTTTATGGCTAATAATTTTGAAATAGGGACAGGTGATTTATTGTATACATTACAGTGGACACTTGCTTAAAGATGCTTCCAGCCTTCCTAAGAAAAGAACTATTTTCTCATTCTAACATGTTCCTTTTCATAGTAGAGAAAACTTTAAAATAATCTCACATAATGAGTAACTGTAATTAGGGCTGATGGCAAATTATACTGTGAACTATCAGAAAGCTCTTTTACTATATCAATGTTTGCTATACCTTTTTAAAAAGAACCAACACTTTTAACAGGTGTAGCATGAGTCATGCAGACACATTTAAATCTGACTTCCTGGTGGGCTCTTGAGAGTACAGGGATGGCAGATATCTGAGGTGTGCAGACCCTGAGCCACCACGTGCCCCGGGCCATCCTGGTAGCCTTCATCTTATTCAAACACATGACACCAACTGTGGATTAACAGAAGAAGTGAAGAACTGACCACGAGAAAACACGAAGCCTGAACTTCCAGGAGAACATGGCGGATAGATAACAGCAGCTATGGAGGCTCTCTAAGATAGCCAGCTTAGAATCCAGGAATGATGCAGTGTGAGGAGTCCTAAGCAAGGGGTGACATACCCTGCCAACCCAGGAATGAACTAAGCTGAGAGAAACCAACTGGAAATGCAATCCTGGTGCATAAAATCCCAGCAGCAAAGGCGCCTTTGGAAACCGTGATTTGAATTTCCTGCTCCTGCTGCTGCATCTAAATCAGCACAGCAGGGAGAGAGATGCGAAAGCTCTGAGAGCAGGAATCGGCAAACGGAGTTGAGAGTGGGTCTGGCAGGAAGCCCTGCATTGACCTGTGATGAGTGAGAGGAACTGGGACCCTTCCATAGACTAGAGGCTCCAACAGAGGACATTCTGGGACTGGGAAGACTAGCCGGAACAGGACACTGCAGTGACTTTAGTTGCATATTCACCTCTCAAGCAGGATTGGTGGGGAGCGCTTGGCCTGGGTGACGCCGCGGACTAAGACCCAGTAGGCTACCCCAAATAAGGTCCCAGTGCCTGGCAGTGCACCCTAGTAGTGAAGCCTTCAGTAGGTTGAGCTGGAGGGGCTGGCCTCAGTAGAAGCTGCCCAGATCTGTGTCTCCCTAGTACACTGCAGTGGGCGGGAACACCTAGCCGGCACAATTCAAACAAACTATAGCTCTCAAAGAAAGAAACTGGGCCTCCTATATATGCTTGTATGGGAGGAACAAAAAGTATAGAAAGAGGGAGCAACAAGAAAAGGGTTCTCAGCTCCTAATCCTGAGAACACTGATCCAGGAAAGGTAAATGCAAAGGAGAATGAGGACAGAAAACATGTAATATCAGACACGGCACCAACAGACATAAAGCAGTATCTCTGGAGCCTCATAGACAAGTTTAAAAATGAAGTATTTAATGAAGTAAAGCAAGATATAAGTAGAATAGTTAGAGAAATGCTAAGCACCGCCCAAGAAAAAACAGATGATGGAATGGAAGAACAGGAAAAAAGGGGAGAATCATTTGATGGAGAAAATAGAGAAAACAGAATACGTAAAGCAGGTTCAAAGAGAATACCAGGAAACTAAAAACTCTATTGAAAGCTGGCATAACAATAGAGAAAGAAACTAAGGATAGATTATCTGAACTGGAGGACAGATTTGTAATGTGGGAGCATGAAATGAAAAACTTCTTAAAAATAACAAGGAAACAAACAGCAATAATACAAAGGCTAGAAGATGATAAGAGAATTTGTAACTTAAGAACTAAGAACGTAAAA